CGCGCTCTCCTCCACATCACGAGTAGACACGCCCCTTATTGCTGATTGGCTACAAGTTTGTTTTGCGATTTGGCCCGAATCAGTTTTCTAAATTGTTTTTGAAAAAATCACATACCCTGCCTTTAACACCATAAGTATAAACTTTATAATTCCATTTAAATCATCAGGGTAATCATCCAGTGTATGGGGAAAAAAAATATTGGTTTAACGGTCCCACTTATATTAAGTGGCCCTAATACCTGTGTACTTGCATAGTAACTAGATGTGTACGTAGTATGTAACCACAGTGTAAGTACACATTGGTACATAGTATGTACAGCTGTAATATTTCTGTAACTACACACATGTAACAACCCTCCGAATGGTTTGTGTAAGTACAAATGTGTAACAGGACATATATAACTACATTATGTAACAACAATATGCATAAGAGTAATTGGAACCAGGAATACTGAAAAGTGGAACATCTGTGAGGAAAAGACATTTAGTATCTATAAACTTCTTATCTGTTAGCCGTGGAAAAAGTCATTGGCTTTCTTTATGCCACTGTCAAGTGCGGCTCCTGCAAGCAGGGAGATTGTGTCCTGTCATGTGGGAATGTGCACAAATGTGTACAAAATTCCAATGAATCATCAAGATGGAAATTATTTTCATGTAGATATGAAAATACAGCAACATGTGTTTTGAGTGTTGGGAATTCTGCCTTAACTTTCTATAGGTGGGCAGCCTGTTCTCTTTCTGACTTTTGCCACCCTGCAACCCAGAGCGACTCATTTCATCATTACAATGTGACCTTTGCATGTCATGTTGAGCTTGTCCAGCTATTAATGTTAATGGCAAAGCTCTCAGCATTCATATACACCACAGCTGCTAGGCTCCATCAGAGCCTGACATGCAGGAAGAGACAAAGAGGTCAGAGGCAGAAAGGTCAACATAAAGAAAAAGAAGAGGACATGTGACATTGTGACTGTCCAAGACCATTTGTAATGCTATACACCTTATTTTTAACGAAAAATGTGTGCTTCAATTTTTACCTTGCAAAGATTCCAGTATCAGCCGCTTCCAGTTATTTTAGCTATACAAATAGTCTGTTATGCTACTTTATGTTGCAAATTTGTATTATGTCCCACTTTATATTAAGTGGCCCTAATACTTACATAGTAACTAAATGTGTATGTAGTATGTAACCACAGTGTAAGTACACATTGGTACATAGTATCTACAGCTGTAATATTTCTGTAACTACACACATGTAACAACCCACTGAATGGTTTGTGTAAGCACAAATGTGTAACAGCAGGACATATATAACTACATTTTGTAACAACAATATGTATAAGAGTAATTGGAACAATTTGATCCAGGGGGTGGAGATGGGTAGGTTTAGGGGTGGAAATGGGATCCAGGGGGTGGAAATAGGGTAGGTTTAGGGATATGTAAAGTGGGAAGAGTTGGATCTCAAGTTGGTGGAGTTGGTGCACCACTGTAATACCAGTGTACTTACATGGTAACTCCTCAGGAACGGTCCATTTAATATAAAGTGTAACATTCTGGACACCAACCACAATTTAGATGTAAAGCCTAACTTACTGGCCGCTGCTGTGTAACATCCAGCAATTCCATAGGAATTGTTTACTTAATATAAAGTGTAACACTATCTTTACCAAAAAGTGCTGTTAGTCCTGTTACACATTTGTACTTTCATTACCAAAAAGTGTTGTTACCAATGTCCTGTTACACATTTGTATTTACACATACCATTCAGTGGGCTGTTACATATGTGTAGTTACAGAAATATTACAGCTGTAGATACTATGTACCAATGTGTACTTACACTGTGGTTACTTACTATGTACACATCTAGTTACTATGTAAGTACACAGGTATTAGGGCCACTTAATATAAAGTGGGACCGGTTTGACTTTCTATATATTTAACCAACTCACTTGATACAAACAGGATCGTTAAACGTCACTAAGATGTCAGTGGTGTACTGCGGCAGACGAAACAAGCACAGGTGAATGTTCACAGTGTTCTTGGCCTACAAACAAATATAATGTAAGCTGATGAAAGGAACAAAAATGAATAACTAGAAAGTTAAATGCTGTTGGTTTTAGGCATACTGAAGATTAACCATGTCCAACTGATTAATCGTCTTAATTAATATTCTGGTGTATGTATGGCCTTTTCCTTTTTTTATTGGACAGTTGTTTTTACACAGTGCTTGATTTAGAACCTTTGTTTTTGGCTAAATAATTATGTTCGCTGGCTTCAGTGTTGTCTGGGGCACATTAACATTTCCACTGCAAATGCAATGTAATAAAGACACACCTCCTCATTGAATTTAGAGACCAGCTGAGCTCCAGACAGTAGCCAGGCAGAGCTGCATTCCTGCATTGTTAGCTCTGACTGAGGGACCTGCTCCACCCCTCTGACCTCCCAGGAGCCGTTCTCTACCGCCTTGTTACTTGCGGCCACGTCCTCAAAGTGATACCTATTACAACACGAACCAGAAAAACAAGGTTATTCATACCTGTGTATTCCCATTATGAAGTCATTTAATAATTTATTTCCTGATGTGTCCAGTGAACACAGACAAAGCTTCTATTGAATTTAAGGCAGCCATTCTTGCAATGGACTTATGTGTTATAATTTATATATAAAAGCACACACTGAGAAATAAGCCCCAATGTTAACTGCTGCAGGCAGGTTGGAGTTCAAACCTAAACCTGTCTGACCTGTTGAAATCTGTAATTGTGTCATTTCACGACTTCTGTGTGTGCTTTTTTTATTATTATTATTTTTTTTTTTACAAATGACATCTCCCTAGCTTTTATTATTTGTTTTGTACCTTTGTTATGAACAAGCAATCACACAGAAGATGTATGCCAAGATGTGTTGTTCTGTTAAGAGACCACATGTTACCTGGCTGCGTCAGCATCTTGCACTTGGCTTTGGTACTCCAGCAGTTCAATGATAATACTCTGATCTGTCCGAGCGTGAGCAAGCACTTCTTGATTATCAGGGATCTGTCTCAGTTCACTGCAGACAATGGGGAAGAGAATGACAGGTTTTTAATATACAAATCAGTTAAACTTGAGCTTTATTAAAACAGACAACATGCACAACACAAGGGTGGGTTTGTAAATGGCGCCAACCTCAATGGAACAACTGTGATTCTGCAAAATAACAATTCATTTGTTGCTAGTCAACTGTGGGCTGTCCAAGCAACTGACTTATTAATATAAAACAGACGTTTTGTGACAGGTGTACATAGTACTACGCTAGCTGTTTCTGTACATGTTTTTTTTTTTTACATTTGTATATAATTACCTGATATCCTGGACACTGGGGGGAATAACAGCTGATAATGCACCGCCAAACAGAGGCCGGGCCATAGCTGTGCTCACCACTGCAATGATAAAGCCATTTAGAGAGGGAGTAACATTTTTCAAAACCTGCCTTCCTGGAGACAGCTGCTAATCTGATAGATGCATGTGAATGAACAGACAATGCAGCCCGGGTCTCCTTCTATATATACAGTGGGTACGGAAAGTATTCAGACCCCCTTAAATTTTTCACTCTTTGTTATATTGCTTTCTGAAATCAGAAGTTCAGCAATACCTAAAATCTATTTATAGTTGAGATTTTTACCAACAAAACATATTTCAAATCATATTTTTCCTGAGATTTACGCAATGACGTAGTTTTGCCTCATTATGGTTACATAATGACGTCGTCATCCGTCATAACGTCATTTAGCTACTTTTACCATCTTTTAGTCGACCTGCCTTTAGTAACTTTCCCTGAAAATTAGTTGGCAACACTGAATGCGTCCTTCCGTTTGAGAAGCACCCATTCTGGAATTCCAAGTGCTATATTGGAGAGGGGCAGTTAACAGTAGGAGAGTAACACTGTACACAGACAACATTTTCATACCTGTTTCCGTCTTCTAAACACTCACCTGTCTGCCGCTCACCAGGCAGTCCTGTCCCTTATGTTGATAGGAGACATCATCAGGATTCAGTTCATAAAACATAATGTGGAAATGAAACATACTTCCTGCACATAAAATCTGACATTAATTTGGCAAAGAGCATAGTAATGAAACATAAAACACCAGCTTTTGCCTTTCTCATCATATTTAATTAGAACTTCCCAACATAATTGTTTTGACACGTCTTATATTGTAAGTGGCAGTCTCCTTCTTCTGTTTCAACCTGCCTTTACCATGCATACACATGCGTCCATAAACATACATATTTTGTAGAAACAGGGCCATTTCTGTTGTAGCTTCTGAGCCCTCTAACATATAAAATGACAAAAAGACTAAATGAGTATTGTGAAATCTATATCGGGGAAAGTACATGACAGTGTCAACATCAAAGTCATCAACTTTTAAAATTCTGATTCTGAAAATACCAGTTTTATCAAACATAATGGAGTGTTTTATAGTGACACAAACCCACTAAATACATAGAACATCGCAAAATTAATCAGATCCATTGCTTATATTTAAATATTTTTGGGCTGTTGTTTCAATCCCAAAAATCTGTCACTTCCTGGAAGTTGAATTAAGGAACTGACTTTTGTTAGTTAAGGGGATTTTACAAAAGACTAATGACACTGAAGGTGAATTTGAGGACATTAGTAAAACAACGTACCAAGAAAACATTTTTGTTTAAAGCATTTACATTAGAGAAGTATAACATGAAGAAACATCTAATAGAATAATTCGTTATAAATTGCTATTTTCTGCATGACAAAATGACAACATTCACTCAAAGTAGTGAAATTATTTCAAATTCACACCTGTGTGAGTTTAATGTTACCCTAATAAGATATATGAAATGTCAAACATGACAATGTATTACATAACCTACAAAGGTTTTAAAGTCAACTTAAAAAAATGATTAGACAGTTCTTCTGGATTATGCAGAATACAGTAGCACCATCGTCTGCTTACGAAGGAGGCGCTTATGCGCGTGTCCTTAGTCTATTTGATCTATTAGACAGTTTTAGCCAGATTATAAGGCCAAACATCAAACACTCTACACCAAACAATGTTCTTACAGCCTGCCTACACATTCACAGTTAGACCCTGTTCACTCTGGCCAAAGGTTCAGAATTTTTTTTTAGGATTGTGAGCTTTTGCTGTTGCTAATAAACTGATGGAACATCCAGATGCACTACAAAGACATGAAGTCATTATTTGAGTTTTCCGGGAACAGATGCCATGTCACAGGTCAAACCTCAATTAGCCTAATTATCCCACTTTATCTTCCCCTGTCTCTCTCCTCATGTCTCTCGTTTAGCACCCTGCTCTCAATCTCCACAATAAGATAGTTCCCACCTCTGAACCTCTTAAAGAGCATGTGCTAAATCCGGTCGTACCTGCTAGTACCTCTACAGGTATTCACTCGGTTAACCTGATAAATTGAAAATTGGCTTGACCTGAATAATTCTTGTTTAGAAATATAGAAGGGGACGCCAAAATGAAGGTATATTTATGGGTTATGTAGCTAGTTAGACTACTCTGTGTTACACCATATGGCCAACAGTACCCTGAGCACAACACATATATGTGATTGCAAAAGATTTCATTTCAAAACTCTCCCAGCATTAATTCTTCCCATTGTTGGTGTTTCCCAGCTTCCACTCTGCTGTGTAAGTCTTCCACCAGATGTTGGAACATGGCTGTAAGGATTCACTCCCATTCAGACACAAGCATCAGCTAATTCAGAAACTGATGCTGTGCTTGTATTCGGCATTTTATTGCCTTCCCTATTTTACCCAGCACTGGGTTGTATTTAACCCAGCATTTTTTAGACTGTAGTATCAACCACAATATTCTTTAGGACAGGCTCAAAAATTATGTTAAAAAAAATCCACAGGTGGAATTGCAATGGCATGGTTCAAATTGTTTCTGACCATTATCACTTTGTAGGAGTACATTTTGATCTTATAATTAAGAAACACTGAGTTGGTTTTCAGTGTTTTGCTGATGATACTGATGATACTCAGCTCTATATTTCTTTGAGGCCTGACAAAACATACAACTGCAAAACTAATGGAATGCATAGTTGATATTAAAAATTGGATAACTAGTAACTTTCTATTGCTAAATTGTAATTATTGGACCAAAAACCTTCACATGCAATAACCTAGAATGTTCCGTCAAGTCTAAGATGACTAAGAACATAAAGTTAGGAACCTGGTTGAATTGTTTTATAGCAGTCTTCTCATTTAAAGGCCAATCTGACCATTAGGCAGTCACATTTATGGTTTGAGTGTTTGACATATAACCTGAAGGTTGTGGGTTTGATTCTCAGTACTGGCAGGAAATGAAGGTTGTAGAAATGAACAGCGCTCTCTTCCACCTTCAATAACCCCAACTGAGGTGCATTTGAGCAAGGCACCTAATTGATCACTGCTGTGTGTGCACTTGGATGAGTTAAATGCAGAGCACAAATTCTGAGTAAGGGTTACTACACGTCACTTCTAGCATATGTTTTTTCCATCTTAAATGCGTAGTTCACTCAAAAACTTAGATTCGTTATCCCAATTCAAAGCTAAACTCAAAACTCAGAATAGCTTATCACTGTCTACACACTTTTTTTTTAAACTGCTCTTTTTCTTTTTTATGGTTCATTGATATTGCTATTTATTGTTATTTATTGCTGTTTTATTTATTGCTCCTGATGTGCGGTGACCTTGAGTGATTTGAAAGGCGCCTTAAATTAAATGTATTATTATTATTATTATTATTAAATATGAAAATTCTATAATCATTGTTTGTTCCAAATCTGTATGATTTTCTTTCTTCTGTTAAACACAAAAGAAGATATTGTGAAGAATGTTGGTAACCAAGGTGTGCTGACCAAACTGGTACCCACTGACTTCCACAAGTAAAAAAAGAAAAAAAAGAAAGAAAAAAAAATACTATGGCTACAAATACTATGGCTACACTGTAAAAATGTAAAAATCCATAGAAAAATGGATAATGTCCTAAATGTAAGGTTTCCTTCAAACCTAAAACACAGCAAAAATGCAATACATAATTCAAAATATAACACCTGTAAAAATCAATACAGAAAGATCCTTCATATTGACACAGTAAACTGAGCAGTATTTTTACAGACTTTTCTTAGAGCGTACCAGCAACTGAACAATCTTCCTTCTAGAATGGGCACACTGGACCTAGGAGCAGTTGAAGAAGGTCATCTGGTCTGATGAGTCCTGTTTTCTCTTGCATCACGTGGACGCCCGATCTGCTGCTAATGTTTAGGTGCTTGACACCATAGGACACCACTTGAAGGGTCCGTGACTCAGCGAGTTTTGGCAGCAAAAGAACTAATTACTGTAATAGTTAAACACCTAACATATTTGAACATATTTAGATTTCTAACATAATGAAACCTAACAGGCTGTAAATATAGAGTTAAATCTAACCATCGCTCCTGAGGGCTTTTTAATATATTTGTAATATATATATACTGTACACATATATATATTTATATATTTGTCAACAAAATAAATATATCAATTTCAATCATATTCATATGCATTTTGTGACAATTTTGATTCTGAGTTTTGGATTTTTGACAGAGAGAGCAATACAAATAATGAGGGCATAAAGTGTATTGCATAGGAACCTGTGTGTAACACATCCTGCACTATTTGTGTTATAGTTATATTTATAAAACAGCAGAAGCCTATAGTATGTCCTCATTAAGGTAACTAAGCATGTGTGCGTGTGGTCCAGGTAAACCCTACATTACAGTATGTCTCCACAAGTATAGTAAAACCTTACATTTTTTTACCTTGTTGGCTTATAATCCTTGTAGAGCTTCTAATTTTTTTTTTAAAGTGTAAAAGATTTCTGTGAGGGTTGTGTTTAGGGCATAAAATAGTTTGTACAGCAGAAAAATCATTATATCTATGGGAAGTCTCCACAAAACATGAAAACCTCAACGTGTGTGTGTGTGTGTATTTAACCTCAGGTTACTCAAGGGGAACTGTCACTGTGATAAGTTCACTGTACATCACCATGGAGAAACCAGTAAATAACTTACTTTCTCACAAAATATAATGTGACCATGATAACATGATATTTAACATTACCATATGTAATTACATGCATAAAACATGTAAAATGAAAATGGAATTCCTTCACATCTGCTCCAACTCATCCATAAAATAGTGAATTAAAATGTTAAATTTATCACTACTAACATGATACATGACTAATAAATCATACCTTGGCACAATTTGTATTTGTTAAAAAAGTTAGAAACATATAAATTAAGAACAACAGCATGAAACAGTTTTAATTCTGAATGGCTGATTTCTGACAGAGAGCAAGATAAAGATGGAGTGACAGAAGGTAATGCATTCTTAGCAGGAGCTTGTTGCTCTTGCAGTGCCCTTTTGATAACTGATCTGACCCACAGCAGACTTACGCTAATAGACTGTGACAAGTCTCTTTTCATTCTAATCCACAGACCGTAATCCACATAGGCTAATGAACTATCAGTTTGAATTTCAGATGGACTATAAACTCCTCCTAACCCGCCTCACTTATTTTCACAGTGAGAGTGAAACTTGGGAGGGAGAGGAAGAATGAGGCAAGCCACTGAATGATGCACTTGTCTGAGTTTTACAATGCTTGCTGAAGGAGAGAGGGTTTTACCTGGTCTGTGGAGTTTTTTGAAACCAAGGGGCCCATCCTTTGGAGCTTTTAATCCACAATTCTTTGTCACAGGGATTCTACAAAAGGGAAAGTTTCAAAAATAAAGGTAGGGACATTAAAGACTAATTATTTACATTAGTGTGATGAAAATATTTTGTGTTTGTGTGTGTATATTGAGCAGGCGTGGCTGCAAGACTTGGTCTTAGTATTGGAAGAGACATATCACAAACTATGCAGATGCATGGTGGTTTTATGCTTGTACAGTGAAATTGCAGGGTTTTGTTTTGTTTT